GGTGGGTCAAACACTCTGTAAACACTTGCATAGTGGTGCTGACTGAGACCCTGCAAAAGGGAATGGTAAACCCAAACCCGGAATATGTGTTGATTCCAGTCAGGATGAGTTGCTGCCCCTTCCATAATAGAAGGGGGTCAGTGTAATCAGTTTGCCATCAAGCAGCTGATGGTGTGTTTGTGGGATGGTGCTATATTGGGTGCTCAGCTTCGTTGTGTCTTTTGCTGGAAGGTTACACAGTCAGCAGTGGTAGTGGCTAGCTCAGTTTTGGTAAGTAGGAGCCCATGCTTTTGGACCCAAACATAGCATTCATCGCTGCCATCATGGCTACTGCACATACGAGCCCATTGTGCCATGGATGGTATTTTAGGACAAAGATATAAACCCAACAGTTAAAGTGTTGTATGCAGTTTGGGCCATATTAAATATGACACAAGTATTCATATAAAGCATTTTTGCCCTAGAATCATGACAGTCATAAAAATATGAATGTAAGCATCACAGTTACAAATGGTTAACATGTAATATAAAATGTAAATTTGTAGCCATTGTTACAAGCTTAATTTCAATTATACCTTAATTCCAAGATCCTGGGTTAAGCTATGTACTTCCATGAAGTCATCTGCCTCAAAAATAAAAAATGACTGGAAATCATGTCTGAGGCTCTTCATACAGCCTGACAAGTTTGTGGTAATGGAGTGAATTTACACAGAGAAGCCTGTGCCCTCTTCCTGGAGACTCTACTTATGATCTGTAGCTTGTAGCAGGGGTCTTCAGATAAATTAATGAAAAAGCTGAAACTATCTGAGGATAATAAGACTGGCTCTAAGGAGTGTATTGTAATTACCAACAACATTAGAATGGAAGATAACAGAATGCTGTAATGAAGAATAATGAATGTCAGTCCATGTGTGTAAATCAGTGATTACCCTGGAGTGAGAGAATATTATGAACAATAAGGGCATTGATAAATATTCAGAGCCTTTAATTAATGCCGTAAACTATATTACAATTAAACCCAATAGATAATTTAGATTTTTCAAAGAAAATTCTCATAACCTAACTATAGAATCACATAATTTCAGTTGTTGCATCTGTGTATTTGTCATAAGTTATAAAGACATTGCTTATTTAAATTTCATTCATGATCCTAGCCAGTTTGTTCAGTGGATAGAGTGTCGGCCTGCGGACTGAAGGGTCCCGGGTTCAATTCTGGTCAAGGGCACATGCCCGGGTTGCAGGTTCTATCCTCAGTAAGGGGCGTGCAGGAAGCAGTGGATCAATAATTCTCTCATCACTGATATTTCTCTCTCCCCTCCCTTTCTCTCTCTGAAATCAATAAAAAAAAATATATATATATATCCTAAAAATTAAATGAATTTCATTCATGAATACATTCTTTATTATAATTCAATTTAGATGACCACACATGTTTACAATTTGAAAATATTGAATGTTTAGCAAAATTTTAGCTTAAGGCCAGTAAATTCTGTATAGGAAACTTAGAAATAACAGGTAAATTAGATTTTTATGAATGTAAATAAACCCTAATCTGTATAAACTAAAATATTAATGCTACCATTTTAACTCTGTGATAAAACTAAGGACTAGGCATATTGTAAAACTAGCCTAATGTACAGAGATTCACAATTCCAGGTAAGAGCACACCTATCAGTGCGAAACTGGACTGAAGAGTCTGTCGAGGGGAAAGAGTCAATTATTTGTCTGGACTGGGAAAGAGATTGGTTCATGGTGGCTTTGCTCGCTAAAGACTGAAGGTTGAACCCTTAACTAATTCTGGATAGGGCAGAATTAGTCCATAAATCTGTAGATGGTTGGTCAAAATGAGTGCCATTTTTGATTAGTCAGGGAAAGTTTTCAGTTGGGTTGGTATGAATTTGTGCTTCAGCTGTGGGATGCTCAAACGTCATGGTTTGTCAGCTTCAGTTGGCTAAAGCCCATTGCACTGAAATAGTTCGAATGATTTGAGGTCTAGCAAAGGTTTGATCTGATCAGAAAAATTTCCTTTTACTTTAGTGAGTATCTAGTTGCTATCATGTTATATCCCATTGGATAAGTTTACAAGAGTGGTGTAATAGTTTTATTTTAAAACTTCAATTTTATTTTGCCAGACAGAATGAACTTTGCATCTAATTTAAACTTATGGTGAACATATTAGATATTAAAATATAAAGTGTGTGAAAGTATATATATGTTTATATTTAAAATTATAGAACATTTGAGCAAAAATGTCTGAAGTTCTCTGTTTTAAGATAAATGTTGATTTTCTTGGGTATTTTCTTTGTATACTTTTGAGCTTTGAACATGTGAATAAAAATGGAGAGGTTTAGTAATGTGTTGTTTAAAGTTTTGGAGTCAAGAGCGGCATCAGCTCTTGTTTTAAACAACATTAACTCAAACAGGCAGTCAGGCTATGGTCAAGAGATTCCCTCGCCCAAACCTCAGTTACATCCATAAGCAGTAAAATAATTTTGGTTTGTTTCAAGTAAAGCCCTTTTTTTCTAGTTCCAGCCAAGGCTGTAAACTGAGTGTCATTTGGTACATGCCCTAGATTACAGAAGGAAAAGAGGCAACAAAGCTTTAGCTGGCAAGAATAAATGTTGTTTATACTCTATTTCAGAGCTCCATTGCACTAAAAAAAACTCAACCCTCCCCCCCAAAATGTCTCTCTAGGTTCTTTGTATTTATAATTCTGAAGTCAGTTGGATCTGACTTCGCATCCCTATTTTCTTCTCTGATAGTGATGAACAAAATAGCCCTTAAAAATCATAGAGTCAGTTGAAATTCGGTTAGGGCATCTGTCAGTCCCATAATATCAAGTGTGGGCCAGCATTTAAAAATGGGTAATTAGGAACCTGCTCTTTTTGCTGTATTGAGATCCCTGCCAAAATCTCCCCATTGCAGATGGCCTGTGGGAACTTGGCCCATGAAAGCCCCAATAGGGTTCTATTTATGTCTCTGTGTTGGACAATAACCCTGAAGCTAGGGCCTCTGTGACTCAGCCAGATTAGAATCCAAAACAAAGCACAGAGCTGATTACCACCAGATTCGTCTGCAAGGGACCCAACAGAGCCCTGTGCCCCAGCTGTGGCTGGCCTTGTCTGTTTCTGGTATCCGCCTGGGTGTCAGGACTGTATCTGTGTCTCCCTGAAACCAGAGGCCAGTAGAAGGGTAGGCTAATACACTCTCCCTCTGTACCGTCAAATAGAGCATGGCTAGTCACATATTAGACCCTGGAGGACTTTGTCAGCCAGGTGATGGAAGACATTCCTGTTGATAGGTCTTAGCAATCACAGGACTCCTTCATTTATATACTGCATTATAAAGAACTTTGCAAGTACATTACCCCATTTGAATCTCATAACTACTTGGTGGTATGGGAGAGGTTTGTAGTATAATTACTATTTCCAGGTGAAGAGAAAAATGAGAAGGTTTAAGATTCCCCCAGCCAATAACAAGATCCAGTGCCATCTCTCTATCAGCATCTATTTGCTGTACAATCATCTGATGTATGAATTGATGAAGTGGTGGCTGGGTAATAGCATTTGAGATGCTGCTTAACAATACATTTGATACAGCAACATTCAATAGACCTCTAGTTGTGGCTTCGGCTGCTATCATGCCAACAGTCCACCCTATGGATTTCCAACCATGTGGCATGTCTGTATTGCAGACTGAATGAAATTAAAATGCTAGCATATTTGCAGTGTCTTAGTGGTTGGAGGAGAGTGATGTGAGGAAGCATATTTCTATGTGGTTTGGGTTAGGTGTTTAAAGTCTAGAGAGCATGAAGTTGGTAATTGCATCATGATGTGCTAGCAATGACTTTGTTCAATTCATCCGAAGACATGCATGCCATGTGTATGAAGTTCACAGAGCTCAGCTAAGTTGTGGGGACCTGTTTAAGAACCATTACAGGGACTTCTCTCAAAAAAGCAATAATTTCACTGGACAGATAATACATGTGCACATAAAATAACAACTTAAGGAACTATTCACTAATGCCACGGGCAGGTACAAGTGGTTAGGCCTATGGTTTAGAATGAGAGTTCTTTGTGAATTAATTTTTTAAGTTAAAATTATCTGTAGACATTAAGCAAGACTTCTTCAGCCAGTGCCTTGGTAGCTTTTCTGCCTGTCACATTTTCTTTTGATCACTTGACAAAAGCCCTCTTTGAAAAATGTTTCGTCGTTGCTCTGAATTCATTTTTTGGGGTTTAGATTTCACAGGCAGATAGAATAGATGAGCCTGGGGAAGGCTAAAATCACCCTTTGAGCATTACTGCATACTTCTGTCTGGTCATTATGTAGGGAGAGCAGCCAAAAAACACCTCTTCTGTTCTTCCGTTTGCTTATTTAAGAGGATTGAGTTTGCCATTCCATTAATCTCATTGCTGATTGCTGGTGAAGAATAACATAGAAAGCTGCTTGTTTTGAGTCCCAACATCCCAAAGGGATGATGAAAGTCGTTGAATTTCTTTCTGCACCCTGGGACTTCTCCCACATCCTCACTTCTGGGTCCTAACTCTCTGATCCTTTATTTCTCTCCATGTGGGTTCTCAGATGTTGAAGTTGTTAGAACTTCTGAGATGGATGACTGTTGTTATAGAGAACCATGTGAACCAATTGTGACTTTTCTTTTGTTTTTACTATCAGAACCACATTCTATTTGGGGAAAATGCAATTTTCTTTCTGTGTGTGTGTGTGTGTGTGTGTGTCTGACTTGGATAATTTTGAGTACTTTTGAGTACTTAGTGGTACAGCAGATACTGGTACCTCCTCTCTAACAGTCAGATGACTTGGGAATAGGAAACTTTTGCATGGCAGAGGGTGGAGAATGTAAGTGCTGAACGTGTCCCAGTTACCTTGAGTGGTGGGGTCAGTTCTGTCTCTGTTCACTTCCTTGGACTTCAAGAGGGCAGATGCACACTGTGATTGAAGTGGTTTTAAATTTTCTATCTCTTGTCCTAACACCCCAGGGCTTTCAGCAGAAATTCTCCTTCCACAGTAAAGAGATTGTGGCTATCAGCTGTTCCTGGTGCAAGCAGGCGGTAAGTTGGGAGATGGAATAAAACAAAGTGGGCTCATGTTCTATAAAAATAGACTTAGGTCATTGCTTGAATTCCTGTCTGTAAGTGGAAGGTCATCCAATGTATGTATTGTTTTCCTCACATAGGATTGTTGGAGGAAGAAAGACATTTAAAACCATAGAATTATAGCACATATGAGCTGGAAGAAACTATAGAGATGAATTAACCCCTTCATTTATACACATTGAATTCTGGGATCAGAGACTGGAGAATTCTTCCCTGGTTCTGACCCTGGGTCTAGAATCAAGGACTTCTCCCTCTTAGACCATATATATTTTTTTCCAGTTACACTAGGTTGTTGACAACTTTTCCTATGGTAGGAAGATGCACCATTAGGAAGAAAGCAACTTGCAACATTAGGCAATCCTTCTAACATGGCAGTCTCGGCATCTTGGTTCTTCTGTTTTTTTTATGTAGGCACCATTTTTTTTGTGTGTGTGGGAGGGCTATGTTAGAACAAGAGTGGTTTTATATCCTTTAAATTTCAATGTTACAGTTGTCTGCATGCTCATTGAAATGTAACTCTTCCTTACACTTGAACATATATACTCATTAGAATCCAGTAGTAAATTTTTATTTACTTTTCTTCTTTTTTAATCTATCCCAGTGATGGCGAACCTTTTGAGCTCGGTGTGTCAGCATTTTGAAAAACCCTAACTTAACTCTGGTGCTGTGTCACATATAGAAATTTTTTGATATTTGCAACCATAGTAAAACAAAGATTTATATTTTGATATGTATTTTATATATTTAAATGCCATTTAACAAAGAAAAATCAACCAAAAAAATGAGTTCGCATGTCACCTCTGACACGCATGTCATAGGTTCGCCATCACTGATCTATCCTTTTTTAAAAGCCCCTCTGTCCCAACCAGATGGTTCATTTTCCTACTTGTTTGCCTGTGTACCTGTTCTTTCTTTAAGCAGACAATGTATATACACTCTAACTCATGGGTTGGCAAACTATGGCCCATAGGTCAACTCTGACTACTGCCTGCTTTTGTAAATAAAGTTTGATTGAGACACAGCCATGCTCATCCATCTATGTATTGTATTTCCCTAGGCCCCCACTTGTCAGGAGAGCCTACTACTGTTACGTAGAGATGCATTGGTTTGAGCAGCTCAGTGCTTGGCATTTCTATCTCCTTTTAGTTAATTGTTACGGAAATAGTCCTTGTGCTTCAATTCAAGAACACATTCACAAATACAAGGCCATCCTAGTTCTTGATTGGAACTGTTCCATCAAGGCAATATCTCCATCTGGAGTGGAAGAAGCAGATTCAGGGTCCAGGTGTCCAACAATACTTGTGTTGCTGGTTTCCCTGATCCGGTAAAACCCCATTGGAGGACAGCATCATTGGTGGCCACGGGCTCAGCTAGGCAGCATCTATTCTTGCCCCCAGAGGTCTCAGGCTGTGGTTAGATGTTCTGTACACGTTCAGTGAATTGGGAACTTAGTCCCACTTTCTAGTGAACACATGTGCTCTCTCTTCATTGATCAGTAGTCCAACTAAATCACTACAAAGATGACTTTCATTTGACCCTTGTGACAGAGCTGTGCTTAATTCTACATACTTTTGGGTTTCCCAGGATCACACATAGAGGAGGTGATTTTGCAATGTTTAACAATACAATACCTTTTTAAGACAAATTGTGGTGGGGGTATATTTTAGCACTACAGGTAATCCCTTCTAGAATATCTGTGTCAAACAAGTAATGTCCTCTATGGGCACTTACTACATCAGGGGGAAAAAAACTGGGATTGGGAGCTGCGTTTCCTGGATTCAGGTCCTCACATTACCACTTTTGGACTCTTCTTATTCTCTCTAGATTGGCAGTTACTCAGATGTAGAGTCAGAGAGTTGAAATAGGCAGATTCTGAGATCCCTTCTATTTTAGAAATGCAGTGGCCATTCATTTGGGAGTTTATTTGAATTTCTAAAAGAGAATCACTTACAATTTTTTCTTAATTTGAGAGAATTTTAAATTTAAGAAAAGTTGCAAAAAGTTGCAAAGTGTATAACATGAATGTATACACTTTCATCCAGTTTCCTCTAACTCCCTCTAATTTTGACAACTTACATAATCATAGCACAAAGAATAAAATCAGTAAATATTGATATATTACTAATAACTAAGCTACAGATTTTTAAAACATTCACTAGTTGTTTTCTTAATGTCCCAGAATCTATTTAAGGATCCCACAGTTCATTTAGCTGTGGAATTCTTGACATTTCCTCGTTCTTTCTGTCTTTCATGACCTTGGCACATTTAATGAGCACTGACTGGTTATTATGTGGAATGTCTCCCAAACTGAGTTTGCCTTATGTTTTCTCATGATTAGATTGAAATTATTCATTTTAGGCGAGGTATAAGAGAAGGGATGGGATGTCCTCCCTGCATCTTATTCAGAGGGCATAATGTCAATGTTTTATTACTGATGATATTAACCTTGATCACTTGATTAAGGTGGCATTTGCTATATCCCTTTCCAATTGATAAATATTTGGGGGAGATATTTTGAGATTATGCTGATATATTTCTCCTCAAACTTTTGCCTACTGATTTTAGCATTCATTAATGAATCTTTTAACAAAATTATTTAAATATTTAAAACATTTTTTAAAAGAAATAAACTTTATTATTCAGAACGGTTTTAGGTTCACAGCAAAATTGAGGTGAAAGTAGGGAGATTTTTCCATATATTTCCTCTTCTTACACCATCACACATTCCCCACTATCAACATCCCATGAAGAAATCACCTTTAAAAAAAGATATTCAAATAACATTTCTCTGGTATATCAAATTGTTTTCGGATCACAAATAACTGGTGGTTGGGGGAATTATAAAGCTGTATTCCATACTTAATTAACTGATTTAGTAGTTAGTCTCTGGATCACGTCAGATCGTGAAGATACGCAGAAATGAAGACAAAACCTGCCTGATGGGGTATAATTGGGGTGGCCATATTTTCCAGTTTCCTTGAGACAGTCCTAATTTACATCTTTTGTTCCAAGATAATTATTGACAGTACTCCCTTTCACTCTTAAAATTGTTCCAGTGAAGATGATAAATTATGTGGTCACATTAAATAGAATCCAAGTAGAAAGCATGTCAAATTTTTAAGAAAATCACTATAATTAAAACTTTAAGGCTTATAATGTGATTTTATGTTTATTAGAAAACAGATGTCACCACACATCATTATCCCTTTACAGCCTCACAAAAGATGATTGAAAGTGTAATTGGCCTAAGGTCATTCAATCTATTTGGGGATAGATTTAAGCCTCTAAAGCATTGTTAGTCTACATTTACTTCCTTCCTTTCAAAATCAAAAAGCACTCTAGACTTGCCAAGTGTAATAGGACCATTATATTTTTTAGCAGCCCTCACAAACCCAGCAGAAGCAATCTCTTTGTTCATTGTTGCCTCTTGGACTAACAGCTCTTGCTTCTTTCCTGGGTCCCTTATACTGGAAGACCATCTGAGAAGGATTTCCATCTGTGGGTAGAAAAAAGAGGGACAGATGTTAGGCACCTCCTTTCTGCTCATCTTCATTTCCTTTTCAACATTATCCCAAATTAACCAAGTCTTTCACGGTGCAAGTCCAATGAAACAAAGTTACGGCCAAGTTAGGATTAATAGAACCCTCAGTTAAGATAAGAAACATTTCGAACCTGTAGAGAACTTTTCTTTTTTTAATTATATTTTATTGATTTTTTACAGAGAGGAAGGGAGAGGGATGGAGAGTTAGAAACATTGATGAGAGAGAAACATCGATCAGCCGCCTCCTGCACACCCCCCACTGGGGATGTGCCTGCAACCAAGGTACATGCCCTTGACCTGAATCGAACCCGGGACCCTTCAGTCCGCAGGCCGACGCTCTATCCACTGAGCCAAACGGGTCAGGGCTGTAGGGAACTCTTACAGGAGTTTTCTTTGAGCCAAACTGATGACAATTGCTGAGAAACAAAATCTCAACAGATAGAGAAAATGCTCCAGAGAATAGCAGTTTTACAGCTTATTTTATACATTAGAATCAAAGGAAGAGACAGGAGTGGTACATGAAATGCGTGGTAGATTAAGGGGGCAGGAGAAAGCAAAGCTGGGAAATCTCTGAAATTGTACAAAAAGGCAAAGTAGAGAAACACACACTTCTTTTATATTGGTGGGTACAGGATAGTTAATAATTAACATTTATTGCACATAGAGATGGTATGTAGGAAACAAGATACAGTGAGGGTTTCTGTGGCCTCTGTTGTGGTGGGTGTGCCCTGAGGGGTCTGGAAAAGGAGATTACTCTGACATTTCAAAGGTATGTTATCTGAGAGGCGAAAGGACAACAGACAGGCTCACTTAGGTAAAAACTGACCTTTGTCAAGGAAGCTGAGGCCTAGGACGTGACTACTCACCATGACTTGCTTTTAGTTAGGAATTTTTATGTTCAGACCATCCTGTGTGGTTACCTTCAGTCTCTGACTTTGTAGAGCTGGCTTCCCCTGAGCTTGTCAGATTTAGTATGTGGCCATTTTTTTCATCCACACCTCCAAGACTAACATCTTTAGGTAAATATCCTATTAAACAAAACTCATAGACACAAACAATTGTATGGTGATTACCAGAGTAAGAGAGGATAGGGGAGCTAAATAATGATGGGAGGAGACTTGACTTTGGGTGGTGAACACACAATACAATATACAGATGATATATTACAGTATTGTGCACCTGAAACTTATTTTATTAATCAGTGTCACTCCAATAAATTCAATACAAATTTAGAAAATAAAATAAAAAGTGAGGCACTAAAAACAAAAACAAGGTTATAAAGTTTTAGCTGACCTGTCCTATAAGATTGATTTTTTGTTGTTATCATTTTATAAAGGGAAATGAATTCTAAATATGGTCTCTGAGCGCCTGGGGCTGGTTGATGAGAAGCATGTGATGTGTGTGTGTGTGTGTGTGTGTGTGTGTGTGTTTGTGTTTGCATGTGCATGCATGAGCATGTACCCATGTACTTACTTCTTCTCATTGCAGCCTTGCCTTTTGCACAGAATTATTTATTGGCCTGTTTTCTCTTTAGTTTCACAATAAGGTGACCTGCTTTATGCTGCATCAAATTGAGGAACCCTGCTCCCTGGGAGCTCATGCTGCTGTTATTGTCCCGCCCACCTGGATCATTAAGGTGAAGAAACCTCAGGTAACTGCAGGGACCCTGGTGCTGCTGGGCCAGTGCAGAGAAACAGTAACTGTTGCTTCTTGCTTTTCTCCCTCTGACTAGTCTTTGGGTTTCTACGATCTCTGCTCATTCGTCCCCTCGGTCCCATGCTCAGCTTCCCCAGTTCATCCCATTAGCCCATCACCTGACTGCGTTGGGCTCTCTCATGGATCCAGCCTCCTCTTCTAAAGAAATCGGACTCCACAGCAGGAGTGTTTCCTTCCCGTCCGTGTAATATCATGAAATGATATTCTCTTTGGGTTCTTTCCTGAGTTGCTTAAGTACTAGTGGTGGCTGTAGCTGAATCTTGTGCACCTCTCTTCTCTTCCATCCTGGGCACCCCCAGGGAGTGTATGTGAGGGCAAACTGTGCAGGCTTCCTTGTTTGGTTGAGATCACCACCGCTTCCAACCTGAACAGCAGACTGTGGGGCGTGACCTTCCTAAACACAAAGGATCTGCTTAGAGAGCAACACTCCTCACTTAAGGCAAAGTAGAACTTAGCCTCTTAGTGCATAATCTCACATTGCATTCAGTCCTCATTGTACTTTCTTCCAAGAGGGTCTCTGCTTCAATTCTGGGAAACCTTGGTGGTTTTTCCTAAGGTCAGAATCTTTGATAGGAAATTTGCTACCTTTGTACTATACATCTTAGACAGTAGCTCCAAGTTCTGGGATGATTTTCAATGCCACGGGGAGAAGGTTATACCTCCCTAGGGTGCAGGAACCTTAGGAAGTCTTACTGAGTATAATATCTCTAAATGATGTGGCCATCCTTTTTCATGTGGGCTCCAAAATCATCATGCAATTTATTCCCATTGACTCCGTTTTCTATTTAAAAACTGTTGGATCAGGGACACTGTTTTGCTTTGCGTGTTGTACACGAAGTTTAGTCTCTGCTGATGAGTAACATTTGGTAGTAATCTTCCCAAGTCATAATCCATGGAAGAAGCCCCTGGGAAATCTTTTCCAGAGACAAGTACGGTTTCTACACATTAAAATATGGGGCCTCTAGTCCTTTCATTTTACATTTTAGATCCAAAGGCTAAGAGACGTTAAATGAGTTGCCCAAGGTGTTCTATACAACTTTGTACTGTCTGAAATTCAAGTGTACTGATTTCCAATTTTGTATTGTTTTAAGATCTCTTTTATATTTTTACTTTTGTTTTTCCCCTAATATTTACTAAATCTCTCCAAGAGCTTTATATTAAATATTCAGTTAAATCAACCTCAAAAACCTCAATGGTATCAGGAAGGCTACTGGGCATTGTGATGCAATACATGATCTTTGCTCTGAATAACCATGCAGTTATCTTAAGAAAAGATCACGGAGAACTTCATAGAGGAGGTGGCTTTTATGCTGCCTCTTAAAGATAGGTGGGATCTAGATCAGTGGAGCAGAGAGGAAATAATAGGCAGGAGATAGGCGTGAGCAAGGGTATGGGGCCCAAAATTATATTCATGGGATTATGAGACTAGCTTGACTATAGTGGAAGATTTATGCAGGGTGTATGTAGGATAGGAGTATGTGTTTGCTAAGGCCTAGCTGGCAGGGCATTTTTTATACATGTGAACTTTATCATTTTAAGCAACAGAGTAATAGAGGAAAAATTATATTTTAGAAGGAAACAACTAGCAAGAGTGTGTAGGATAACCTGGTGGTATCGGATTTTGGAAGACTGGAGATAGACCAGTTAGGAAAATCAGAAGATAATACCACTTTGCAGGGAAAATGTAAGTTTCCTTTACTAAACTTTAAAAATATTTTTGTTATGGAAAATTTTAAGCAAGTGAAGAGAGAGAGAGAAGATTATAATGAACTAGAGGCCCAGTGCACGAAATTCATGCACTCAGGAGGGGATCCCTCAACCCGGCCTAGAGCGGTCCTAACCTGGCAGTCGGACATCCTTAGTGCTGTCCTAGCTGCTGTGGAGGCAAGAGAAGCTCCCGCCACTGTGCTTTTGGCTGAGTGGTGCTCCCCCTGTGGGAGCACACTAACCACCAGGGGACAGCTCCTGTGTTGAGCATCTGCTCCCTGGTGGTCAGTGTGCGTCAGCAACCGGTCGTTCCAGCAGTCAGTCAATTTGCATATTAGCCTTTTATTATTTTTAAATGGCCAGTGCCTGTCATGGCAGTTCCTGCATTGAGAGTCTGCCCCCTGGTGGTCAGTACGCATCATAGCTACCAGTTAGACAGACACTTAGCCTTTTCTATATGTAGACTCTTCTGCAGCATGAACTTTTCTACCATTATTGTTTCATATATTCCTGTACCACACCATAATTTATTTTCCTTAATCATTTTTTTCTATTTTGAGATTCACAGGCAGTCGTAAGAAATAATACAGAGAGATTCTGTATACCCTTTACAAATCTCCCCCATTGTGATTTCTTGCAGAATCACAGTACAGTATATCAGAACCAGATGTTACCATTGACTTAGTCAAGATACAGAACAGCTGCCACAAGTATCCCTCATGCTCCCTTTTCATAACCACATCCATTTCTCTCCTGATCCCACCCCATCTACTCTGTCTTCCTGAAAATGGAAGTTTCCCCCCTTTTTTCTTTTACTGGGGTATCTTAAAGCAAGTCTTAGGATATCATTTAATCTGTAAACACTTCATTTTGCTTCTCTAAAATATAACATTTTAGAAAGACAACCACATTTTGTCACCCACCAAAATTAATAATTCCTTAAAATAGTTTCTGATTGTCTATTTTATATATATAAATTGTCTATATATATAGTTTGTTTGTTAATCCTCACATGAAGACATTTTTTTCATTGCTTTTCAAAGAAAGTCAAAGGTAGGGGAGAGATAGAGATAGATAGAGAAAGAGAGAGATAGAGAGAAACATCATCGATGTGAGACACATATTGATTGGTTGCCTCTTGCATGCACCCTGGCTGAAGGCTGGGAGCAAACCTGCAACCCAGGTTCATGCCCTTGACCAGGAATTGGACCTGCAGCCCTTTGGTGCAGGGGTGGGGTGGGTGGGTTTGTGTTACACTCTAACCACTGAGAACACAGGCCAGGGCTGAAAATTTTTTTTTCACAGTTATCTTTTTCAAATCAAGATCCAGAGGTCACAGGTGCTTTTTTGGTGACATATTGTAAGTCTCTTTTAATCTGTAACAATTCCCTCTTTTATTTTTCATGCCATTTATTGAATAAATTGGATCACTGTATCTGTGAAATTTCTCAGATTTTTATTTTTGTTGATTGTATCCTTATATTGTTTTAAAATGATTTCACAGAAGGCCCCTATTTCTTGTAAAATAATACTTAAACTTAATTAGATTCAGGTTTAATTCAGGGGTGATGATATGTATTTCTGTCATGTTGCTAACTTTTAGTGATGTGAAGGTTGACCAGTAAGTTCAGGAACTGTCATCCTAATTCATCTGTCATAAAGTTGTCCATCAGCCTTTCACCTATTGTTTTATCTAATAAGTATTATTACCTATGTTATCATTTCATTAGGGTTGCCAAAGGGTGACTTCCCAATTTTTACTCTTCATTTTTTTGGCTATGATTTTCCTATAAAGAGACTGTTCCCTTATTACCAGCATTACAAATGCTTGAGTATTTGCCTTTATTTGTAAATTTTCAGAAGAAATAATAAGTTATCATGTTAGCAACTTTTATTACGTGGCCAAGAGTGGTGATGGTTGTGGTGGTTGTCTTGCAGAGTATAATTTTGAATTATGAACCTATATCATTGTGTGACATATATATGGCATATAATGTGTTTTAATTCACTGGCATCATTATTATTCTTATATTCATATTGTTCCATATTTGACCAATTAGGACCTCTTCCAGGTGACTCCTGTCTCCATATTTTATGAGCCATGAAGTTTTTGCTAGCTTCCTTGGTTTCAGGAATCACATCATGTGCCAGGATTATCTTGTGCGTTTCCTGTTCATACCTGTGATCAGCCATTTCTCTAAGGAGCTCTGGTTACTTTTAATGGGAGATGTTATTTACAGTTCACTATCTGGATGCAATAATCCAATTTTTTTTATTACATACCTTTTTATTGTCTTCTAGGATTCAGGATATTATAATAAGAATTAGGAGAGCTAACATTTATATGTTCAGAAACATTTACTTTATATTCACTATCTCATTCTATCTTCACAGTACCCTATGAGGCCGGTATCTTGTTATTCCTACTTTATAGCTGAGGAAGTGAGAAACAGAGAAGTCAAATTTCCTGGGTCCATAGATAGTAAATACTTTGAAGTGGCATTTGATCCCAGGAATTCTGATTCTGGAAATCAAGTTCTTTGTGATGTGCCATGCCATTCACTGTTTTACTCTATAGCAACCCTTCCTGAATCTGATATTTTTAAAAATTGGGGTAGTCCCTCTTCTTTAGTTAATTGATTAAATTTAGTACTTTAATCAATTAACTAAATTCTATGTAATAGCTAATGGATGATGAGCTTGGGCAGTAATAAAGTAATGGTAAAGAGCTCTAGTTTATGAGTCAGATGACCCATCAGCGGTTCTCAACCTGTGGGTTGCGACCCCTGAAAATACATCCTGCATATCAGACATTACATTACGATTCATAACAGTAGCAAAATTACAGTTATTAAATAGCAACGAAAATAATTTTATGGTTGGGGATCACCACAACATGAGGAACTGTATTAAAGGGTCGCGACATTAGGAAGGTTGAGAACCACTGACCTAGATTCATAACCTTGCTCTGGTACTTAATAACCTGTATAATCGCAGACAACTTAAACCCTTCTGTTTCACCTTCTCATCTGCAAAATGATACTAGTACCTAATGCATAGGGTTTTCATGAGGACTAATGAGCTAAAAAACAAAAAAGATAAAGTGCATAGACTGGCACCTGGCTCATTGTAAACACTCAATAGATGTTAGCTCTTGTTTTCCTTCTTGTTGACTTGTAGGAGTACAGGGTATCAAGCAAAGCTGTGCATCAACAGATGAAAACGTTG